GGGGGGGGGGGTTTCTTTACGTCCCCCAACATCTTAGATCACTGCCCTAAATCCCTTAGCAACAACCAATCATCTGTACCCTCTCGCCCTGGTGCTGCCCCTCCCCATATTGTTCCATAAATTTGTGAGAATAGTGGGGCAGGGGGTCTTTTGCTTAAGCCACTGACCTGGTAAGAGCAAAGACCCTAACTTAAGTTAGCTAATAAACTTTCCTATTGCATTTGCATTGTTGAGTGTTGGCATATTCCTCTCCGAGCATCTCCTTCATAACCTGGGCACAACAAGGAGAGCTATTGAATATAATTTCCAAGTTGCTGACTCGAATAACAAGGTACATGTAGATGAAGAATGTAACTGGGAAAGCATATTTTTGGAGAAGGGAAGTACTTTGATTTTGAATGTGTGGAAAACGAGATGCTTGTGGAAGTCTAGTGCTATGTCTTGTAGGTAGAAGGATGGTTGAATTTGGTGTTCAGGAGCGAGGTCTGGGAAAAGACAAATCTTAGTGTTACCAACATTGTGTTGAATTTGGAATGTAAGTGTGGTAGAGAAAATAATGGCCTCCCCAAGATGTTCATGGCCTAATCCTTGTGAATATGTTATGTTATATGGCAAAGGGGAATGAAGGTTGCAGATCAAATTAAGGTTGCTAATCAATTGATCTTAAAGTAGAGAGATTATCCCGGACTCTCTGAGTGACCCACCACCATCGAGTTGATTCTGATTCATGGCAACACTGTAGGACAAGGTAGAGCTATCCCTTCTGGTTTGCAAGGCTTACTCTTTACAGAAGCAGACTACCACATCTTTCTCCCATAGGGCTGGTGTGTTCAAACCTCTGACCTTTTGGTTCGCAGCCGAGTTCTTAACCAATGTGATCAATGTAATCACAAAGTTCTTACAAGTCAAAGACATAAGTTAGAGGAGATGTGTCTATGGAAGAGAGGCGCAGAGAGATTCCATGTTGCTAGCTTTGATGATGGAGGAAAAGGGCTATCAGGCAACCTTTAGAAATTGGAAAAGTTTGGAAAAGGAAAGGAGGCTGTAAAATTGAAATAATTATATGAAATTTTTAAATAAATTTGAAATAATTGCTTGAAGTAGTTCATCTTTTTGCTCTTTCTTAGCTTTGTTATCTTGATAACTTAAAGCAGCATAATTTTTTAGTTTGAATTATCCACACACTTACTGTCTAATCTCTTTTCTTTTGGGATATGGACTTTGTTTGCTGAATAGATCTACAGATTCATGATTTTCCCTAGGCTTAAAATTTAAAGGAAGAGATTCTTTCTTCATAAGTTTCAAGTTCTATTGCCACCATCGAATAGACACATAAATGGAATTGGAGAAAGGTACATTAAGAATTCTCTCTGATATAATGGTTCTTGAGAAATATTACCATCACATCGAAAAATAAAATATATTTTTTCCCATTAAATAATTGTTTATTTGAACCCCCAAGGAGAATTCATTAGGTTCTCTTGTGCTGTTTAAGTTTCAAATACAACTTGGAGACAAAAAAAAATTAATGTGTCATGTTACATTTTGTCAGAAAAGTAACTTGAAGATAGTTCAAAAACAAATCTGAAAACATTTGCTTATGCAGCATAGTCTTCTCAAAAGTTATTTTTAAAGACTGAGGAATTAGGCACCTGTTGGTTTTGCCAGCTGGTATAGACATTAAAAATTACTGTCACTTCTCCACCCTCTACTCTATTTTGCACCTGTTACTACTTGAGTTATGGGCATTTCACACGTGGTAATTTAATAAGGTTAGTTCACATGTCAGTGCAGTAGATGTTATCCCACTGGAGGTTAAAGAAGTTTTATAAAGTCTTATGGGAAAAGCATTAACTATAAAATTTGAGACTAAAAATTTTGTACCTTGTAGATATCACAGTTTCCTAATTGAAAAATTTTAAAGGAGTGCAGAAGATAAGAAGTTTAGCCACCTATCCCAACACAAAAACAAGTGTTTTATGATTAGACTATTTCTCAACTTGTCTACATGGTGACATAATTTTTCAGAACATTTTTATTGCCCAATGCAACAACACAATACAAATACGTATGTATATCCAGAGCTGCATTGTCTAATGTGGTGATTATCAGCCACATGTCATTATTTAAATTCAATTGTAAATTAATGAAAATTCAATTAAAACTTCAATTCTTCAGTTGCACTAGTCACATTTCATGTGGCTAATGTCTACCATATTGGACAATGCAGATATAGATTTCCATTGTTCCAGAAAGTTCTGTTGGAAGGGGTTGTGTGAAATACCCATTGTTCTTTGGAGATCATGAGACTATAATGCCATTTTTCCTTAAAAGAGTGATTGTAATGTTCCAATATCATCTTAAGTGCAAAAGCATAGGTCAAAGTTGAAGTTGTCTGCTGGAATCTGAGACACCTTTGCTAAAGATAGAAGGAACAAGTAGACCTGAAGCTCCCACATCAGGAAAAAGTTGCTTCAGCTTCTAAAAATATGTAGGCAGGAAAATACTATTCAGAGATTATATATCCCGTATATCACAGAGATCATTTTTTGAGGGGTGTTGTAGGTACCTGGGTGGCATAAACAATTTGCCCGGGACTACTAACTTAAAGTTTGGAGGTACAAACCCACTCAGCAGCTCCACAGGAGGCCTGGTGATCTGCTTCCATAAAGATTACACCCAAGGAAAGCCTAAGGAGCAGTTCTACTCTGCAACACATGGGGTTACCATGAGTTGGAATTGACTCCACAACGGGCTTGGTTCTCTGGTTGTTGCTGTTGGTTGCCATCAAGTGGACTCCAACTCATGATGACCTTTGTATAACAGATTACTTCAGCTCTTCTAAATATTTAGCTATTAAATTTCCACTTCTGCTTCTCCTTCTAAAGGAAAAATGAAACATTATAGCATTCTAAGATGATAGAGTGAGTTTACACCATGAACTTTTCTGTCAGTTAGTCCTTCCCCTCTGTTACATGTATTAAAAGACAGAACGGAGGTCTTAGGACCTGTATATGCAAAACAGGGCCATCAGAAGAGGAGAAGGACTATTAATAAATGGAAACTTGAGTTCTTGAGTTCTTGAGCAGTAATCTAACCCTCAGAGAGGTTTTTTTTTTTTTTTTTAAGTAACAGCTGAAAGGTCACTTTAAATTTTATCCTTGAAATCATTCACTGAGAAAAATCAAGGGCTTACTAGAATCCTCTAATAGGCCAGATTGTCACTCTGAAAAACTTCAAGCTATGAACACAATGGTTTATACAAAACTGAAGAAATCTGCCTTCACCTTAAATTGCCTGGATAGTTTACATGAAAACTCCTCTGACCCCAACTGAGTGATCCACTTCTTCAGTAAAGCAGGGTTATCTTTTCTAATTCAATTTGTTATTGTGATATAGATCGCAATGATTTGTTCTTTCAAAAGTTCAAAATTCATCAGTTATTCTATACATTTAACAAAAGTATTGAAGTTTCAAAAATTATTTTCATTAACTAAGAAGATAAAAACACAATGTGACTTGAACATACCAGACTGACCAAGAATTATTTATTGATTCATTATGTTAAAGATGTTCATTGACCCATGGTGGATAAAGATTGGTGCTTAGATTTGAAACTGTCAATGTTTATCTTTCTTGTCTAGAGTAGCAGACACTTGATTTGTGTTGTTTGAATACAATTCAAAGAGAATATTAAGATATATAAAAATTTAGTAAGTCCTTTAGTTTAGAAGAAAACAGATTGCTTTTCTGAATGATGGTCAACAGATCTGGACAGTTAGTCATGGGTGTTATTAAAACCAGGTGCCAATCAGTCTTCATAAACAATGCTTGTTCTACAAAGGAAAAGGGAAAATGAATTAGATGTTGATGGCATCTTTTCAGAAAGAAAACTGGAGAGAAAATAATGTGAAGTGTAAAAGAAGAAAAAGCACAAAATGAACCACCACTTATGAGTGAAGTCATTTCCTGGCTGTGAGAATCTGACCGGGCTTACCCTTGGGCTGTTATAATATAGCAGGAAAATTTAACAAGTACCTTAGTTATTCAAAGAATTTAGACTTTTGCTTTTATTAGTGTTATTTTCCAAGTAAACTTGTTAACTAGTTTGTGGTTTGCTGAGTTTCCACTGCATAACTACAGTCAAAGATAGGATTTTTCGATGGAAGCAAAAATACACTTAAAGTTACTCTCTTTCTAAAGAACTTATCTCAAGTACTCAACGTTATCTGTTAATATAAATAACTCTTAATTTAAGAACCAATATGACTTATTTCTATAGCACATAAAACAAGCTGTTAAATTAAAAAAATACAGTATGAGGAAAGTCCTAAACATTAAAGAGGGAACAGGTATATACCTTGAGATCTCCATTTAGATAGACATGATGTGCTTGACAAAAGCTGTAGGGGTAACACAGACAGTTTAGAGTTAGAAAATAGTCAAATTTAATAAAAGATTTAGCTGTAACCCTTTATTTTCTTAAGCTGAGTAGCTCACTATTGTTAATACTGAATTAATGGCCTTTCCTTCATTTCAGAGAATTAGTTTTTTAAATAGGTGATACATCCACATGGTTAATTTTTTTTTTAATATTGTTTTTGTTACTGTTAGCAGCCATCAAGTAAGACCCCAACTCATGACTCATGGCAACCCTGTGCACAACAGGATCTGACTGTTGTGATCCTTGTGGTCTTCACTGGCTGAGTTTTTATTAGTAGATTGCCAGTCCTTCTTTGTCTTAGTCTGGAAGCTCTGCTAACCCTTGTTCAGCATCACAGCAGCATGAGAGCCTCCACTGACAGATGGGTGATCACTGTGCTTGAGATGTGTGGCTGGGGACCAGACCAGGATGAGTTCACCACTGAATCACCATGGCCTTCCTTTTAAAGTATGTTGTTGTGTGCTGTCTAGACAATTCAACTCATAGAGACCCTATAGAACAAAATACAACTTCTCCATAGGGTTGCTTAGGGTATAATCTTTATGGAAGTAGATAGTCAAGTTTTTTCTCCAGTGGAGTGGCTGGGTGAGTTCGAATCATCAACCATTCTGTTAGCAGCCAAGTGTTTAACCATTACACCACCAGAGCTCTTTTCTTAAAGTATACCACTGCCATTGAGTTGATTCCAATTCACAGCGAACTTATACAACAGAATAAAACTGCCCCATAGGGTTTCCAAGACTGTCAATCTTTATGGAAGCAGACTGCCTCATCTTTCTTGTGCAGAGCAGCTAGTGGGTTTGAACCACAGAACTTTTGACTAGCAGCCACTATTGCACCACCAACCAGAACTTCTTTTTTTTTAGAAGGGTATATAACAAAAGGAGCTCTGGTAGTGTAGTGCCTAAGGCACTTGACTGCTAACCAGAAGGCTGGTGGTTCAAACCCACCAGCCACTCCTCAGAAGGAAGATGGGGCAATCTACTTCCATAGTGATACTGCCTCGGGAACCCAAGGAGGGGTCGCTATGAGTCAGGTCTGACTCAACAGCACACAACAGAAACAACATAACAAAAATGTCTTCCTCACTCATGAATCCCAGCCACCTTTTTCCTGTCTTTATAGCTAAGTTGGCAGAGCTCCTTTTTACACAAATAGTGGAATACTGTACATACTATTTTGTACTTGCTTGTCTCAATTAATATGTCTTTGACTCTTTGACATATTACCATAACCATGTATAAGAGTGTCATTATTGTTTTCAGAGCTTCAGAGTACTTCATAGTGCGGCTGTACCAGAATTAATTTAGCTTATCATAGATATGATAGACTTTAAGGTGTTCAAATATTTGCTATTATGAATAATACAATAATGAATAACAATGCACATATGGTCATTTCATACATGTGAAGTATTATCTCAAAGTTATATCCCTCAAGGTAGATTTACCGGAATTAGTAGTGATTACATCACCCTCAGTAGTTTAACAATTTTACATTCTCATCAAGAATGAATGAGATTTCCTGTTTCTACATACTCTTCAACAACACAATGGGGTAAAAATTTTGACCTTT